GGGTGGGGGAGGTTTCCAAATTCCCAAATCTGTCTCTAAACATCTTCACTCAAACTGAGAGAGGAGCATGTCACTGTGGGTTCAGTTCTGGCCTCATTTCCTACAAGAACATTATACAGTACCATGAGTATGTTCATCCTACTGGCTCTGTGGAAATTTATGATGCTCAGAGGAGCCATAGTCTAGTTTCTCCTGCATCGTTTTCAGCAAAACGAACAATTCTATCTTCCACTTCACTTTTTTTTCATCTGCTTGTTTCATCCCCAGCAAAATGCCTCCATTTGACTGTGAAATACCCACAGTATGTGTGATCAGCAGTGTCTGCATGGTGCTGTGTTTTTCCTCATGCTGAATTGCGGAACACTTCAGTTGGTGCATAACAAGCTGTTCTGCACTGGCAGAAATGTGCGTTGAGGCTTGAGCATCATTCATTACGTTAAGAAAGGTCACAGGAGAATGCGTCGACTGTTTGATGTATTTCCAGGGAGGGGAAAAAAATGCTAAATTTGTTTTTAATGCATGATCATTTCCATAAAATCTATTTGGCACTTGTTTCACCATTTGTACTACACTGACACAATTTGTGTCAAATATCACACCCCTTCTTCTCAGTTGAAAGTCGAGAAATCGAGAAACGCATCATACACATAGTGCTGGATTTGGTGGCTTACTCTTACCTCTGACAATCATAATTCACATCATAAAAAGGCAACTTTTTAACTTCCAGGGTCACATACTGTATGCCAACATATAAAATGGCAGCCCATGTGGCAAAAACTTGTCATATGTAGCTGAAGCCCCCAAATAATGAAATCCATAAAGATATGTTAAAAAAAGTGGCTTTTGTTTTTCTGCTAAGGCTCATACTGCCTCACCAGCACTATTCTTACATCCCTAGAGCACTGACACAGTCCCCCATGCACTCATATACTGTACAGTGTGTTGAAAACTTAGATGAGCAAAAAAGAGAGATGAGCAAAAAAACTGTCCAGGGCCCTGTACAGTATAGTACCACTGACATGCAAACTGATGGTGTTTCTGAGTAGTCTAACATATTCTGAAAATATCAAAATGACCAAAAAATGCATAGTTACAGGTTTAAAAAAAGGATTTGAAGTATATCCCTATAATATCTTTAATTTAAAATAATTTTACAAGTCTGTAATTGCTGTGGTCATTGTCATTAAGGTGTCATGAAAAAGCAATGCATAGAAACCCTATGCTAAACGTATGGCAACAATTAAAAAAACACAGATTAGGACTTTTAATGGTTACAGTTAGAATTAGTATTGGGTTTATTTCAGCAATTGAGTATTGAGGAATAATGAATGAGTGTAGACTGAGTATTGTGTTGACAGAGGCATGTGGCCTTATTTTTCTATACTTGTGGGGTCTGAAAACTGGGAGTCTTTGTGGGAACTCAAAGTAAATTGTCAAAAAACTGTTGGGTGCAAGGTTAGAAAACTATTTAGCTTTGGTTAAGTGTTAGGCTAAGATCTAGGCAAGTAGTAGCTATGGTTAAGGTTAGGCTAAGCCTCCTGGAAATGAATCTATGTAGGGACACAAAGTGACAAAAACAATAATGTGTGTGTACGTGTGCAAATGTGAGTACACATATGGCCTCACATGACCTAGTTGTTTGTCCTCCTTTCCAATTCTCCAAAGGTCAGATTGAAATTCAGGTTAGGTTTTCTTTTGGCTAAAGGCAAGCAAGGAGTCATTGTCTCCAGTCCAACAACCCCTGGTTCATGCAGGGCAAGGCCGCTGTTGGTTTAATAATAATATTGCACCACAGACTGGGCAGTCAAGCTAGAACATATTGCATTACAATATCCACCTCCATCTCCCCTACCTTCTCAGAAACATGAATCCAACACTTTCCTTTCAGTTCTGCAATTTTGCTGTCTTCACTATTTCAAAATTAACATAACCTTAATGTTCTGGCTTAATAAATAATTTATTCCAGGAGGCTAATAACAAGCCTTTTTAAAATTTGTAATATTTGAGTGCAGAGCAGTGGTGTGTTTGCTGTAGGGAGCCTTGCTGGTGATTTGCAGGGTTGTACTTCTCTGTCTGGGAGGAGATGGGAGAGACAGCGAGGACAGAGAGAGCACATCAGAGGACATGTTAAATGCAAATATCTCTCATCCCGTCTCCTTCCCTCTTGCAGAAACAATAGGCTGGATTCTGTTTGACATGGATGAGTAGTACACTCTCTCTCTGTCTCTGCCTCGGTCTTCCTTCCTCTGAATATATTTCACAGCTGTCCAAGAGGGCTGAAGCGAACTCACTGCAAATATTAGTAGTCTGGAGCTGTGTCTTTTGTGGCAAAGCCTCTTAAAGCCACAGAAGTTTAGAGGACAAGGTTTCAGTCCAAAAACTAGCTAATACAGATTTGATAATGAGAGGAGGAGAAGGGTTGAATTAATGCAGATAAAAAAAAGAGTGGAACAGGATGCATTTTATGGCTATTGTTTGGAAGGATTCAAGTGTTTAGCTTATTCGTATTCATCCACACATTACAGACTGCTGCTTCCATTTAAAAACATGATATGACCCAAAAGTTAGACATGTCAGGAGGGGCTTTTCCTATTTTCACCATATAAAAAGAAAGTGGAAAAGCCAATTGTGAAGAGTTTTCCTTCCCTAAAATCTGCTAGATGAGAAAACTGAATATATAGTACTTATGTCCAAAATGTCTTAAAAACTGTCTTTCAGATCTCAGTAAGCAGAGATGGGCATTTGAGCTGGTGACTCACTTGCACTCGAGTGATACTCGTGACCCACATAAATAGACTTACAACTCACAATTTACCCCGGTTTGGCTTTTAGATACATCCAACGCATCCAACTGCATAAGAAACTATAATCCCTTATTATGTTACTACGCTGGATAAAATTCAAAAGGAGAAAATGCTTTTGCTGTAGAGCGTGACTCAAACTATTGTTTCAGACTCTAATTTCAAGACTTTAAACTTGAATTGGATTCCAACTTAAAAACCTCAGACTTGCATTTTGTGACTCAAATACCTCTGTCAGTTTCAGTTCTAATGAGAGTATTGGGAGTGATTTTGGCAATTATTTGTCTAATAATAGGGATTGCTTGCTTGTCCATCCCGGACCTCTTGTCCAAATTGACGTTTCTAGCTCCAGTGACCTTTGATTTCACTTCAGCAGACTGTCGTCTTTTGATGTCCTCTTCTCACTAATGAAAACTGTGATGTACTGAAAAAGATAAGAACCCTTCAGATCATCAGCAATAAAACATGGGTAAGGGGTCAACTTTCTGATGGAATCAAATATTTTACATTGTTGCTGGAAGGGAAGGGTTGAGGTAAGGGAAGACATTACTTCCCTAGTTTCATAATAATAGGAAATAATTTTTACTCTATTTGGTAGCCTTTTTATCTCGACATTTTTAACAAAGGTAGTCAGACTGCACCTCCACTACCACCCGGTAACCATCATGATTGGCCTCTGACCATTAAGAGACATGGGTCTCTTACTGAGATAAGATGCAACAGAAAAACAGAGCAGCACAAAAGATGTCTTTAATTTAATAAGAATGACTAAAGTGCTTTTAATAAGGAGGCTTCCCTTCTGGTGACGCTTCCTTTGTCAGTCTAATTGTTTTATTATTCTGAGTGGGAGGGAAGTATAGCAGGGCTCCAAAACTGGGTTTACTGGAGACAAGTCAACTCATCAGTCAAAAGGACACTTATGATTTTATATCAAGTAAAGGTCATTCTTCACCATGTACCATCACTGCACCCAACATCCATTGCAGCTGGTTAATGTTGTAATGCATATTTGTTTACCCTGGGCATGTCTATTTGGATACATGCTAGATGTTTTCCAGGAATGATTGATCTTTATTAATGTTAAAATAAACCAAATTTGCCTTGAACATCAAAGCGTATCTCTAGCGTCTGTGATGTCAGCCATAGGTTGGGGGATGGAAGCTCTAAAGGAGCTGAGATGATGTATGCAAACATGGACAGCTGATGATGATTCACAGAGGCAT